TTAATGGGAGCACTGCGTACTTTCAATTTCTCTCGTCATAAAAATAACATAAACGTGAAAAATTTTATGACACAACAACTATTCGCTGTTACAGAAATAAATGATTTTTGACGTTAACTATTACCGTAAAAACGGCAGGTTAATTTGTAGATGCAGAGGTATTTTACACGACCATCACATAACATACTATTTATAATGTATGTATTTTCAAACCCATTTGCAAAACCTGGAGGCTATCGGCGGCGTTGTCGAAGTCATTAACCGTAAACAGGTTTTCGCATCACTGATGATCTATACTTATGGTAATTCATAAGTTTTCCATTGACAGTCTCAAAACCGACATTCCTGAGATATCCAAGATTTTGTCACACAGATGTTTGTACAAAATTATCTTTATATAGGAAAACTATTTTTTAGGGTCTAAATTGCGTATATTTTGGTTTTTTAAACCGAAACGTCAATATAATACTATATTTAAATAAAAATATTGAAAAGTTACTAGTAAATAAAATTGAGAGCTTGGAAAATGTTATAAAAATATTTTTTAATACAGTTGCTCAAAACGTGGTATTTTTCGTATTACAAATCGAGCCGAAGGTGGATTTTTCGCACTATTTTAGTGGTTTTTACTTTGCCATTTTATTTTTTATTTACTGTTGTTTCAAGTCTTAAACATAGAACTACAGATTGTATATTTATTTAATACTTATGTGCTTTGTGACATAAGTAATTCATTAAACTTATATTTATAGGTGTCTTATAAAGCAACGGGTTACATTTAAAAATACCAAAATATTTTCCATGAAGTTGGCTGATTGAGTATTAACAATGACCGGAGGTGAGTATTACGCGAGACTGCTGCGCGCCGCGCCACTAAAATAGTAATTTTAATGTGGCTGAATCATGGCAACAGTTGCCATTGTACTCCGAATTTTTATCAGACAAAGAAATAAAATGAGTTTTTTTTAATACTGTTTTATTTTACTTTCAATGTGGTTTTTTCGCAAATGTATTAAAAAACGTCGTTTGATACATCGGATTTGTCTTTTCACTTGTCTCGACTCGTGACCTTCGTCAATATCGTAGCGTAGATTTTAAAGTTGCCTTTGTCTAATTGATACACAATAAAGTTTATAAGACATATAACATAATACTTATTTATGTAGATTACCTTATATGAATGTGAACGATTTTGTTATAAGCACTGAAAAAAAAAAACGGAGCCGCGCAAGCCGCGAGCCGTGCTTAAACGGAGACGCGCAATTTACTTCACTGTGTACCAATCAATCAAAAGCAATCGGACACGAGCCCCTTCGTACGTGTGCGAAGGGTGAAGTGATGTGGTATGAACTTTTGTTATTAGGCGGTTTTTAGTTGAAATAACACTAATGATAGAAAAGTTTTAACACATTTTGTATCCCAAGAAAACATATTTGTTTATATTAAATTGAAAACTTACTATGTATGTTACTAGGTATGTTTTCGACGTCAAAGTAATTTAAGTTGATCCTCGATGAGAAATATTTGAATTTCCACGAGTGTTAATTGTTTTTATTCATTTTTTGAAACTAGGGAGACATGGATCCGATCCGATTAATGAGAAATTACCCACTTTTTTAATATTCATTTATTACTGTAGCATAGTAAAGTAGTCTTTTTATGTGTAACACAGACTAAATAAACAAGCAATAATATTAAATAAATAATGTTTAGCATTCATGTAATACGAAATAATGCAAAAGTTATTGCATACATTTTTTGATGTTATCTGAAAACGACCCTTTCCGTGGAGATAATTACCAAAAAATGGTAGTCTGTAGGGTCATGAGACAAGTCTGTAGGTCGTCACTTGTTTCAATCTGTAACTCCTGTACAGATGGTTTGTTCTGTACTACGCGTGCTGATGTTATTGTTGGGCGGATGTTGGTCATCGTCCGCATTTTATCACAATAGCCGATCAGCTGTCATGGTTGTACCAGGAAGTAATGGTTCATTGCTCCACATCTGATCCACTAAAAAGTTAATTATTTTTATGATACTAAGTGACAGGACGAACAAATCGTGCACCTGGTGGCAAGCGACAAGCCTGTCCACAGCAGTTCCAATGGCAGTCAGAACTTTAAATCGCAAAGATCTGTGGGCACTGCGCCCACCACCATAACACCGCGTTTACTCTATAGTGCTGGCTATACACGAATGTTTCAAGTGGTTGAAACGCGTTCACACATTCGTGCGATAGGCGATGCGAATAACGATGCGATGCAGGACACGCATGTGTAAACGGTCACTTCGCTATTCGCGTCGCGCATCGCATCGCCTTTCGTGCGATCGCGTCGCGCATCGCATCGCCTTTCGTGCGATCGCGTCGTGAGCGGTATTTCGAGCACGAGTCAAAGGACACGAGTTTTTTTTAAAGGTGTACTTTTTTTTTGAGAGAAAAGTATACAAACCGCAATCAATGGTAAATATAAACTCTTGGTATTTCATGGCATGTATCCATATCATTTTCGTAAATATTTATACAATGCATTTTCATTAAAATGTATTCAAAAAAAGGTTATTGTAAATTCTCGGACA